CTCATCAACAACCTGTGTTATACAGATGACTTGCTGAAACTGAGGAGGACCTGAAGCACTTGTTTCATAAGGTCATGGACTGCAGCTTTCTATAAGGAATGAAACTCAAAACCAAGGAAACAAAGATTCTTACCACTGGTCCATTTGGCAGCATCATGAAAGATGGTGAAGAGACTGAAACTGTTAACAGTTTTAGTTTGCTTGGCTCCACAATCAACATTCTTGGTACCAGCAGCCAGGAAATTAAAAGAATTGCACCAGGAAAACCTGCTGTCAGGGCAGGCCAGTGCCAGAGTACTGAAGAGCAACAACGTCTAGAGATTAAGATGTGCTTGATCCAGGCCATGGTCTTTGCAGTTACTTGCTAATCATCAGAAAGATGGACAATGACTAGGGAGGATAGAAGGAGAATTGATGCCTTTGAGCTATGGTGCTGGAGAAGAATACTGAATTTACCACAGACTGCTAGGAGAACAAACAGGTCCTTCCTGGACAGGTTGAAACCAGGCTGCACCTTGGACACAAGATTCTGAGCTTAATCGGACATACTTTTGGCATGTTAAAAGGAGGGACCAGTCTTTGGAGGGGGACATTATGCTTGGGTGGGTTGAGGGATACCGCAAGAGAGAAAGACCCTTGATGAAATGGATTGACTCAATAACTGGGTAATGCGGGAAGGTGTATCAGAGACAGTAAGGTTGGCTCAGCATTCAGAGTTATTGTACTCAGGGTTACTATCAGTCACAGGATACTTCAAGACACACACCAACTAGAACAATGGTAAATACTAGGAGTCACTAGGTTGTAGAATAGTTTAAGTGCTAGAATGCTAGCTAAAAAGTTTAAGGTAAGTAAGATATGTATTTTGGACCATCTCAAGGTATATGGAAAAACAGGTCTGATGATCTGCTTCGAAAAGGTCAAAAGTTTGCAAAGGCCATGAATTGTCTGTGGAGTCTAGTTCTACTCAAACACAAAAGGGATTTGCACAAATTGGCTTCAACTAGATGGCAACTGGTTTGGTTTGCTTTTGGTTTTGTTGTTAGGTATATGATAGCCTGAAAAATAGCAGAGATATTTTCTTCTAAAACCACGGCTTAAAATAAGTGTATTTTTAGCATATAACAGTGTAGTATTATAATCCTTATTAAAGTTGTGTGAGAAATATTTTATTCTTAAATAAGAATTTATGCCCTAAGCCAAAATTTAATACTCAGCTGAAGAGAACTGACCATTGAAAAATCTAAAAATTTAATATTTTTCAGTTCTTGTTATAGAATTATTTGAAATATCAGACAAGCACAATTTTTCTGAGTCTTTTTTCACATAAAACAGAAGTTTTAACAGTTTCACTACTATCTGAAAGTAAGCTTAGTTCAAGAAAAAAATTCAGTGTTTTTTACATCGTAAAATTCGGCTCTCTTACACTTTTTTTAGTTTTTCAAATTAATCTCAATTTTGCCATATGTATTGTGCATTTAGTCCCTAATGTCATCATGCAATTTTTGATCTTCAATACTAAATACAAATATTGAAGTGTTATGTGAAACACTGCCATCTTCTGGGAACATGGGCTAATCACAAAAGACAAAAACGATGTTTACTTTGGAATTGAAGAGGATGAGATTAAAATTCAGTGAAGGGTAAAAATGAAGATATAGTAAACTATAGAATGCTGTAAAATTATAAGCAGGACAATGACAAGTATTAGATATATACAACGAGTCACTGAAAAGCAATCTCTTTTGACTGAAGAACTAGGAAGCACTTCATGGAAAAAGTATTGTAGTGCATAATTAAAAACAAAAAGTTTTCAAAAAATAAACATGTGGAAGAGTAAGAGGAGGAGGTCATTATAAAATCATACTTGTTAACTCTGCATCTCATAATCAAGGACATTTTGCCTTAAGTAAGATAAGTTTCAAATCTGAAACAGGGGCAATATACAAAGTATAGAAAGAATAAAGTTTTGTTTAAATAGAATGTCTGGTAACTGAGGGATATGTAGAAGTCAAAATCAGATTTACTGAGTCTTTAAAGCCTTAAGGGCTCTAAGAAATCGAAACAGTTTTAAGAGAATAAATAATAAGTCACTCAAACTTTATGAACATAATATAAACTATATAATTATGTAAGCAGTCTACTTAAAAAGCACAACAATGGACCAGACATAAAATATAAATTCCCATTTGAAATGGGAGAAGAAACTGAGGAATGAGGGTAGCAGGCTTTATCATGTTAGTTGTCCATGAGAAGATTCTGACTCATGAGGACTTCATGTGTGCAGAGAAGAACTGCTCTATTGGGTTTTCAAGGCTCAACAGTACTGAAACTGAATGTTACACAACAAAACAGTAGTATTATCGAGGGGACTTCTGGTAGCCTAGTGGATAGGGGGCTGTGCTGCCAACTCAAAGGTGGCTCAACCCACCAGCTGCTCCACAGGAGAAAGATGGGCAATCTCCTTCCCATATGATTTATAATTTCTAAAAAACCAGAGGAGAGTCAGCTATGAGTTAAGACTTGAGAGCACATAACACAACAATACTATGGGCAATGCTAGTGGCCTAAGGGTAAAGGGTCATGTTGTCAATCAAAGTCATATGGTTTGAATGTACCAGTGGCTCTACAGGAGCAAGGTGGGTAACCTCCTCCCACAAAATCCTGCTAGAAATTCAACTGCGAGTTGGTTCCATGTGGACAGCAACAGGCGATGAGTATTATGGAGATGTCAAAAAGATAATGTCAAAAGAAAGAGAACGAAGAGAATCAAAGAAAGACAGATGAAACAAAATGAATTTTTTGTGTTTTTCATTTCAAAATAAAAAAATAAAAGAAACAAAGATAAGACACTGAAGACATAATTATAAATTCAATGTGGATTTATTAATAGAGTATCAAAAACAAAGGAGACAAAGGTTAAAGAAAGAATCAATTTAGCCAATATTCTGATTTGGACTTCTCTAGCTTCCAAAACTGAGAAAATAAACTTCTCTTTCAAAATATCCATTGGTGGTATATCTGTTACAATAACACTATATAACTAAGACAAGTGATATAAGAAAAAAATTTAAAGATTTTCAGATGGTAACTGGAAATACTAAGGAAAAGCATTTTATTACTGTTTTGGAGCAGTAGCCAGATTTCAGAGGGCTGACAAATAAAAAGTACGTATAGATTGGAAGTAAGGTTTCCTTAAAATAAGCAGAACTTATTTGAAAGGGAGAGGTTTGAAGGCGGCTTTATGGATTTTTTTGAAGGATGGGTCTAATTTGAAATGCTTTTAAGTAAAAGAGACACTATGCACTCGAAGTTAAAGACATTAAAGAGGTGACTAAATGGAGTGAACTGAATGTGTTCTAAGGGAAGAAGGAAAAGAGGACTTTGAGAAAAGGGCTGAGTATGATTATTTAGTTTGTTCTGTAGGGGACTGAGAAAGAAAAAAGGTGAGGGTGCTCAATCATGGAAGATTCTATTTACGTTCAGTAAAAACTAATGTCATATAAAAAGCAAGTATGATAGGACTGGACAGAGTAGCACAGTAGTCTGGTGAAACTACTAATTAATAACTACAGAGGTCCAAAACTAGAGACACTAAGTATATAGTCCTTTAAAAAGAAACAGATTAAGATTATGCACATTAGGTGATCATAGTTCATGACACTTAGTATCTTAGAAAATAATTTTGTAGGAACAGGGTTAAATATGGGGAAGAGAAATGTGGTGTCAAGGCTTTATTGTTCCAAATGGCTTCCCTAGCCAGTGACTTGATTTTGCCTGTGGATGGGTGGAACAAGCAAATAGGGGACGGTAGTCTATCTACGGATAGCTCTGATGGCCTACTGGTTAAAAAAAAACAACCCTGCATTGCAATCCTGAAGGCATGTGGTTTGAATGCATCATCTGCTCCTTAGGAGAAGGATGGACCATCCTCTTGCATGTGATTATCTCTCTTTGAAAACTTGCTAGAGGGTCAGCTCTGGGTTGACTCCAACTTGAAGAAATACACAAACAGCAACAGCAATCTATCCACAAGGGGTCTGTCTAGCCTTGCCCTAAAATTGAGCAGATTCAGCAGTGGAATCTCAATACCAACAAGGAAGTAGCAGCAGTGTGTGTCCTAGGTCCGAGATTCCTGTGCGAGACAGACCAAGACCTACACAAGAGCAACAGCAGTCTAAGCAGAGAAGCAGAGATCACACTGAGACAGAGATGACTTAGGACTGCTACCCTATGGAGTCAGAGCCAGAGATCTTCACCCAAGTTTGTTGGAAAACTGAGGGAAGAAACCATAACAAGTAAGACTAAAGGAACTATATAACACTGAAATAAGTCATAAGAATGAAGGCCAAAGGGACTGTGACCAAGCTTGAGAAGCTGGACTGAGGGATTTTACCCTCCTGCCAACTTGAATTCTAGCCTGTTAACTTTCCTAAAACCCCCAAAATAATGAATATGGTTTTACAAAGTCTGTGTAGTCCCTCAAAAGGATTATGGACATTGTAGAACAGAAGGAAGGACTGGTGCTGGAATTGCTACAAACAGGTGTGGAATCATGGGAGCACATCTAACCTCATAAGAATTAGTTTTGTGTGTGGATGTTGTTAATGTGGGCAGTTCCCCCTTGTGGAGTGAGAAGTCAGACTCAGTCTTCCTCGTCCTGCTATTGTTCTTTTTTTCCAGTTGCATGCATCAAGTAAATAATATTATCTTGAATTTTATTATCTTTTTAATTCTAGTTAGTAGAATTTTTTATAGCAAAAGTTTGGAATAAAAGTATTCCTGCATTTACTTTGATCAATTTAAAGATACTTCAATATAATGATATTAGAAAAACAGTAACTTTTTAATATAAAAATTAAATGATAAAGATCCTGCCTGCTAAAATTAGCTTTATAACCATGAAGAACACCTATTAAAATTGTTACTGAACGGTACATTTTTAGCTTAAAAACTTAACTCATCTTTCCAAAATATGTTTATAAATAATAACTTCTTACCTGTCGTAAAGTACGTGCAACAATGCTTTCTAGTACTGGTCCTCTATCTTCATGTAGCAAATGAACTTCATCCAGAATAAGGAGTCTGACAATTTGGGACAGAGCTACATCTCCAACACTCTTTCTTGTCACTACATCCCATTTTTCTGGTGTGGTTACAAGCATCTATAATATAACAAAATAATCACAGAGGGGAAAATGTCACATATATTTTTAAAATTTAAATGATGTTACTAAAAAAAGAAATATTATTGATCATGAATCTGCAATTACAAATCAGTTTAATTTTTAGATAATAAACTACATAGAGCCTCCTAATGGCCTAGACTCTCTAATGGTTCAAATCCACCAGCAGCTCTATGGGAGAGAGATGAGCAACCTCCTCGTAAGAGTTCCAGCCTGGGAAGCCTAGGAAGGATCAACTATGAGTCAGTTTCAACTCAACAGCAATGAGTTGGGTTGAAAAGCCTACTACAGTAGACAAAAAGATTAAAAGCTTAATAATACCTTCTCCTGTGGTACTATTAACATACGTAGCACAATGGATACAAATTTTGTGAGCATACCAACAACAAAAATAACATTTTATATATGTATATGTATGTAGAAAATTCAATAAACACACGAGATTACAAATTAAAATCCAAGTCTGTTTATTGGCCAGTAGATCCAATTATAATCACTTGAAACTGATACTAATTAGTAATTCAATTGTGCTGTTGGATTCATTACTGAATTACTCTTTTGGCATTACGTCAAATTACTCTTTTGGTATTTTCATTTCTGTTTTGAAATAATTTATGATGACCATATTATTTTTTTTAAAATTATAAATAGTTGCTACATTTTTTAAAGTGCACAATTTTTACTTATCAATACTTATATTACTTCACTTGGGAGATCATGTCTAGAATTTAAAATGTATCACATCAAAGAAGGGGTTGTGGTACTAGAGATATTATAGCTGATGTTAGATGGATCTTGGCTGAAAGCAGGGAATACCAGAGGAATGTCTATCTGTGTTTTATTGACTATGCAAAGGCATTTGACTGTGTAGATCATAACAAACTATGGTTGACTCTGAGAAGAATGGGAATCCCAGAACACTTGATCGTTCTAATGCGGAACTTATACTTGGACCAGGAGGCAGTCGTCAGAACAGAGCAAGGGAACATTGCATCGTTCAAAATTGGGAAGGGCGTACGCCAGGGATGCATCCTATCTCCATACCTTTTTAACCTATATGCAGAACAGATTATCTGGGAGGCTGGGCTCTATGAGGAGAAATGTGGGGTCAAGATTGGTGGACGATTTATCAACAATCTGCATTATGCGGATGACATAACCCTGCTTGCTGAAACTGAAGAGGACCTGAAGCGCCTGCTGCAGAGCGTCAAGGACTGCAGCCTACAATATGGATTGAGGCTCAATGTCAAGAAGACAAAGATTCTCACCACTGGACCAATTGGCAGCATCAGGATGGATGGTGAAGAGACTGAGATTGTACACAGCTTTAGTTTGCTTGGCTCCATAGTCAACAGTCTTGGCACCAGCAGCCAGGAAATTAAAAGGCCCATTGCCATGGGAAAGTCTGCTGTTAGGGACCTCTGCAAAGTACTGAAGAGCAATGGTGTCTCTCTGGAGACTAAGGTGCGTCTGATACAGGCCATGGTCTTCGCAATCACTTGTTATGCATCAGAGAGTTGGACAATGACCAGGGAGGATAGAAGGAGAATTGATGCCTTTGAGCTGTGGTGCTGGAGAAGAGTATTGAGAATACCATGGACTGCTAGGAAAACAAACAGATTTGTCCTGGAAAGAGTTAAACCGGGTGGTTCCTTGGAGGCAAGGATTCTGAGGCTCCATCTAACATACTTTGGACATGTTGTGAGGAGAGACAGGTCCTTCGAGAGGGACATTATGCTTGGGAGGGTGGAGGGACGGCGCAGGAGAGGAAGGCCCTCTATGAGGTGGATTGATTCAGTGACTGGGATAATTGGGATGGGAGTGTCGGAGACAGTGCGATTGACACAGGACAGAGCAGAGTTTAGGGCTGTTGTACATAGGGTCGCTATGAGTCGCAGGCGACTCGACGGCACATAACAACAACAACAACATCACATCAAATCTAAAATTCAGCAGCTGTACTATTATAGAACTTTAATTAGCAAACTATAATGAAATAGATTAGGTAATGCATAGTTGAGGTATGAAATACTGTAAATCTCTCAAAGTTAGTTATTTAAGTTGGAAAAGGTAAAAGAGCAGTGTTGAGATCATATCCACATTTATTTAAAAAGATAGGCTAGATAGATATAATCAGGTAGGATGAATTCTGAAATTTCATGTGAGTTGAAACATTCACTGTACATTATTTAACATCCTTTAATAATATTACAACAAATCTAAATTTCCATGAATTTAAAATAATTTTATATATATTACTATAAATATACCAAAAGATTATTTGCTAATAATTTTGCCTGGCAATGTCTAGCTTTTTTATTATTATTATACTCACTGCCATTAAAAATCTTTGAAAGACATATCCACCTGTTTTAAAACACCAGCAAGCTTCTAATCAGCATTTAAAGAAAATACATAATATTCATTTAAAATATGAAGAAAGCAGCAAGATTATTATCAGTAAATATTAGAAAAGTTGGGTATACTATTAAAAAACATTAATAAATGCAAAGCTTAGTTACCAACTTCCCATGAGCTTAAGACTACTGTGCCATCACATTCTTAATTTTCAGAGATAATAATGTGGTAATAAATTGTAAAAACAGGTATTTCAGCCTTAAGAAAATTATGTGAGTATAACTTTAAAATACTTCCTAGAATTTTGGTTTTTATATTCCACTTTCAGATAGTGAGAAGAGGCTTCATTTATATCACTATTTCACCACTTCAGCTCCCAGAACTAAAATGGCTAGAAAATCAAGTGTCACATTTGCTTAATGAATTGGAACTCATGCAAGACATTTCCATCTGCTCTTGTATTAGGCCATGGGTTAACTGTCAATATTTTTAATGTCAACTTAAATTTCTTTCAGTCCATGTACTTACTCCTTCAGCTGTATGAAAATCATCTTTCAAAAGTGTTCCAATTTTAGCCAGTCCATTGAGAAAATAAATGGCACAGCTGAAATGCTTATATACCACAATTGAGCCAGAAGTTTGGTGTGTTCAATTTTTAGAAGTAAATTAATTCAATGTCAAAACCAAAGGTCTAAGAATTTTCAGCACCAATTTATGTGGCTATTTATTCAAACATTATTTAAAAATATCTGCCTGTATTTACGTTGTTAAAATGTCTGGTTACTAAAAAAATATTAAGGGTTCATTCAAATCTACCAGCAAGAAACAACAATACGCTTTCATAAACATTTATAACCTAAGAAACGCTATGAGGCAGTTCTACTCTGTCCTAAGAGTTTGCTATGAGGCAGAGTCAACTTGAGATTGGTTTTACATGTAGTAAAATAACAGTATTTAGTTTTCCATAACTGTTTTATGATTGCTCAATTATTCTTTCCTGAGGGGAAATACTATCTTCCTTGGAGAAGGTAGCATGAGAGAAAAAACAGATAAAAATTTGAATGTGAACTTTTTTACAATCACATGCATAGTCTAGTAACTGGACATGATGACAAACTCCTACCAAATATTCAGGTGGCCAATGTACACATGAAGAATAGTTCAAAATAACTGGCAATAGGAAAGATGCAAATAAAAATCACAATGAGATACCATCTCACCCCATAGCATCAGCAAAGTTTAGTGGAGCAGCAAGCAATAAATGTTGGGAGAGGATGTGGAGAGGTGAGGACTCTCATACACCATTGGTGGGACTATAAAACGGTGCAACCTCTCTGGAAGACAGTTTGGCGTTTCCTCAAAAAATTGAACATAAAACCTCCGTATGACCCAGCTATTCCATTACTAGGAATATACCCCAAGAAAATTAGATGTGAGATACAGAGATCTGCATACAGCAGGATTATTCACCATCACAAGAACATGGAGACAGCCCAAAGGTCCAACCACAACTGAAATGGTGGTAGGTTCACACAATGGAATACTACGTTGCACTCAGGAGCAACAATTTTGAAATATACTGCATAACTTGGGAGAAGCTTGAAAGCATTATGCTGAGAGAGAACTAACAGTCTCATAAGGACAAATACTGCATAAGATCATTATGGTACAAATGGAAAGAAAATTACTAAAACACGTATGGGAATTCAAGCTGAGAACGAGTAGGGGAGAAACCATAGGGTTACACAGTTTGGTGGGGGCAGAGGGGAGAAGGATATGGGAAGGATCTAGGCAAAAAGACAGGGTAATGATAGGCAAGGTCCAATGGTGATTCATTCTATAAAACAGAATGCATGAGAATGATTGTATGAAGCAATGTGAATGAAGAATAGCATGAAACAAAAATGTATATGAACTCTGTAAGCAAACCAATTAAAAAAAAAGTCCTTACCAAAGAGAATGAATATGCATTTAATTATTTGTTCCTTCTATTTGTCAGTTTCTATATCATTTAGTGCTCTTGCAAGGAAATGATGTAAAGATTCAAAATACAGAAAAAAAACTCACTATATCAGTGCAGAAAGATAATAAATCCTAAGGTTAGACCTAAGATGACTGATCTAGGTTTTGTGAGTTTGCATAAGAAATAGACATTTTTTCTTAATTATGTGTTTATTTTTACTTTAATCCTACAAATAGTTATTGAAGAGACAATAAAAAAAGTGATTAATAGTATTACTTAAATGGCTCAACCCAAATTGAGCCACAACAATAAACAGTCATTTGGAAGAGCAGAGAGACAGGACTGAGAAGGTGTGGTGTTATGGGTTTATTGTTCAAATTAGCTTCCCTACCTAATGACTGACTTTGCCATGTGGATAGGTAGGAATATGTGAATGGGATATGTTAGCCTATCCACAAGGGGATCAGCTAGTCTTGCCACTGCAGATCCAGTAGCAGAATTGGAGAAACCGCACCACTAGCAAAGAAGTAAGAATGGAACACATCCTTCAGGACTACAAATTTCTGCACCAGTCAGAGTAGGACCTATGGGAGCAAGAGCCTCAGCAGCCACAGTAAAAAACCAAAGACCAGACATGAGACAGAGCAGACCTGTAGAC